ATCCATCCATCCATCCAACCATCTATCCATCATCCATCCATCATCTATCTACCCATCATCTATCATCTATCCATCCATCCATCCATCACCCATCCATCCATCATCTGTCCATCCATCTATACAATTAGGAGTGGTTTTCGTTTCCCCGAGGAAAAAGGCCTTTTCTGCCATTTGGTTTTGGAGCACATTACCTTCTCACTAAACTTTGCTCATCTACTTTTAAAAGAATCAGTAGTATAGATGGTATTTCTCTTTCCTGCTGTTTTGACTGTAGGAAGAGGTGACCATCAGCCCCAGGGTTGGAAGACAGGAAGTAGGGTGGAGGCTGGGGTGGGCTGGGAAACCATCAAAGCAGGAGGCACCATGCTGCCATGGGAGGTTTCAGGCGCAGGCCCCACAAGTCATTCCAAAGGGAACACCAGAGGCTTCTTGTATTTTGTATTTTAATGTGGATGCCTTTATTTTTAAGTGCTGGAAACTGATCACACACACACATGTGTACTCATGCATGCACAAGGCACACGTGTATAGACATGTGTGCCCCCTTACTCTGTTGGCCTTGTAGGTCCCACACAGTACACCTCTTTTGTTTGTTTGTTTCTAACTTCTGGAGGAGATAGTCGCTAAGTGGTTTTGAGTGAAGGACAGCATGACTTTTGCCTGATGCTGGGTGTGACCAGGATCTGACACTAGGACTACAGAGGACAGTGGTTTGGAGAGGGACTGAGGTCATCAGGTGTCCAGTGATGATGGAGCAGTGCCTTGGTGACACTCTAAGCGTCCTACAAGTCCCATAGCCTCTCCTTCCCATGTCCAAGCCATTCTGATAAACCTACCATCTGCCTGAGGACAGGATGCTGGCTGGGCTCAAGACCAGTCCCCAAGGGCCCCCAGCTGGAGCCCCCCCAGGGCCCCACAGCATGATTCCAGAATTGCCCCTGCAGCGTGGCCAGCGAGTGCGCTTGGAGAAAGACCTCCCGAGATGCAACACCGCTGTGAGAAGGGTTCTAGCTGAAGGGAGCTCTTTAATACGGGTCAGGGCAGCCAATCAGAGTGTCCGTCACAGATGGAATTGTGTCCCTGAAACGTGTGCAGGCCTGCGGTTACCTTACCATCCTGCAGTGGGGGAAAAGGCCGTCTTTGTTATATTAACGAAGCAGGATTAGTGTAGGGGCCATAAGTCACCTTTTTTGAGGTATCAAGGACATTAAACAAACCAGTGGGCAAACCAGCAGAGATGGGTGCACATGGAGATCTCCGGGGGGCCAGGAGGAAGCTGGGGCAGGAGCTGAAGAGTCCAAGAACTTCCTGCAGAGGCCACAGAAGACCTTCCTGCAGAGGCCACAGAAGACCTTCCTGCAGAGGCGACAGAGAGAAAGCCCTCCGGAGCCCGTGCTGTGAGAACGTGAGCCTGTTTGGCTAAGCCGCCCCGTCGTGGTCTGCCTGTTAGAGCAGCAGATGAGAAAGACCCTGTATGTCATGAGTCCTTCCAAAGCACTCTTACCTCCAGGCACGCCAGTCTGTAAGTAAAAGCCCCCTAGCAGAGTGCCTCCAGGACAGATCTGTCCTGGAGGAAGTGCAGCCAGAATGCTCCTTGGAAGCAAGAATGGCCAAACTTCGTC